TTCCGAGCTGCCAGATGAGAGCATCTTGCTCATCCACATACTTCCTGCCATGAAATATCACCTAATCTCAGGCCCAAAAGGAATGGGACCAACTAAGCATGAACTCTGAAGACTCCAAAACTGTGAGCCAAGATCATTCTTTCAAGTTGATTATCTCATGTGTTTTGTTACAGTCATAGAAAGTTGACTAATTTTGCTATATCCTCCTCCTGGAAGTCTTTTTTTAAACGTTAATTTTATTGGTACATTTTCTCCATTTTTCCTAATTTTTCCTTTCCCTTCTTTCCTTTCCCCTGCCCCTCCCAATTCCCCTATCCCTTTGGGCCTTTTCTTCCTGTTTCGCATTATCGATTATTCATCCTAATCATTGGTGCACTTTAGGTATACAATATAATGACATTCATCATTGGAAATTTGCACCTTTACATAAACTCTCTTGGTTCTTATTTTTTCCCCTTCCCCTGCCCTCCCTTCAACCCCTCCATCCCTCCCTATTTACAAAGACTTTGTTTCCATTTTTCCATTTTCTCATATTAATTCCATTCCCTTCTTTCCTTTCCCCTACCCCTCTCACTTCCCCTTCCCCTTTGCCCCTTTTCTTCCTATTTCTCGTTATCTATTATACCTTTTAATCCTTAATTTACACTTTCAGTTTCTCACACTAGAGAAACTATTCAGTATTTACACGTGTGTCCTGTTTATTTCACTTAAGAGGATCGCCTCAATGTGCATCCATTTAGCTATAACTGTCTCTAATTTCTCTTTTTTATGGCTAAGTAGTACTCCATTTTATAAAAAAACCACATTTTCTTTATCCAGTCTCCAGTTGATGGGAAATTGGGCTGCTTCCAAGTTTTAGCTATTACAAACTGTGCTGCTATGAACAAGGGTGCTCATATATCACTGTGGTATGATTCTTTTAATTCTCTGGCGAAGATACCCAGCAAGGGAATAGCTGGGTCAAATGGGATGGAAGTCTTTTCTCTAGCTTCGTTTTCATTATCCTTTCTGCCCAACATGTGGTCCATGTGGTCCATGGACAAAGCAACATTAGCATCATCTGGGTCCTTATTAGAAACTCAGAATCTCAGGCCAGAACCTTCACCTGCTGAATCATAATGTACATTGGGTCATTGATATGCAAATGTTAAGTCTCAATGCAATGGCCACCTCCTCAGAAAGGCTTAGCTGACCCTAAACTAAATTAGCTTCCCACACCATTCTCTTTTACACCATTTATTTGATTCTTCTAATGGCAATTAACTTTAGACAAAATATCTTATTTACTAATTCACATAGCTACTGATTTTTTCTCCATTACAGTGTAAGCTCCATGAAAGATCATGTTTCTGTTGTCCACTACTTTTCACCACCTAACCCGTCTTGTCAATAAATACATGATGATGAATGAATATTCCAGTACATATTTAATCTTAATGATCAAAGAGAGGTTAGAATAAAACAAGTTTTTGATTTCTGCTTAACCTGGCTTTTTCTAACCAAATTATCAGCCAGAAACATTGTTAGTCATATTAGTAGTTGTCTTGGCAAAAATCACTTGCTGTATCCTAATCATGTTTTAGGAAAAGGAAAGAAAGAAGCTAGCTTCAGAATATGAGATAGTAATAAATGGCACTGCAAATATGACACTACATAGGCAAGTAAAATAAGATCACAGGAGGCTCCCAAACATGGAGTGAATCATGCTAGCTTGTCACCTTCTACAGTCTATACAGCACTGAAGACTGAAGGTTTACATTTCCTACTGTATTCCATTAAATATATCATCTAAGAAAGAAAAATATGTTAATTACACCCAATTAAAGAAAACTACTATGTGGTAGTACACACCTGCAATCCTAGCTACTAGGGAGGCTGAGGCAGTAGGATCTCAACTTTGAGGCCAGTCTGGACAACTCAGTGGGGTCCTATCCCAAAAAAGGATGAAGTGGGGCCAGGGATTTAGCTCAGTGGTTCCGCTGCCTGCCTCACAAGCACAAGGTGTGGAGTTCGATCCCCGGTACCAAAAAAAAAAAAGGATGAAGTCCAGTGCAAAGGCCCTAGGCTCAATCCCTAATACCATTCTTAAAAGGGTAGGGGTTGAAAATGTAGCTCAGTGGTGGAGTACTTGCCTAGCATGTGCAGGGTCTTGGGTTCAATCCCCAGTACTACCAAGAAAGAAGGGAGGGGATTAAGGGAGGAGGAACAAAGAAAGAAAGAAAATGAAAATCACATGACATCTTACTTTCCTGTCATCACCTAGCCAGCGAGAGAGCATTGGTAGAATGTGCATCTACTAATTGGTCAAGTACAGACAGCTGAATTAGATTTGTAGAACATTTCCATTGTTCTGGTAAGAACAAAACTCATATGTATGTTTGAGCTAGGAAATTTTAAAAGGTATAGCTTCATTAACTCTCCTTACAAGTCTAGGCTCTTATATTTGCATTTAAAATGGACCTAGTGCAATATAAAGGTGGATAAAATCTATGCTAATACATTAAAATTTTAATTTTGCTTTATTTAGAATGACAATGACATCAAGTAAGAAATAAAAAATTTTTTTGACAGTTCAAAAAAATAAAACTTCATATTTTGGAAAACGGCTTCATTACCTCTAACTTGCTTATAGCTAGTCAGTAATCTGTCTCAAAGGGATTTTTGTTTTTGTTTTAGTTCTGCAGATTGAACCCTTGGGAACTTCGAGCTGAGCTACATCCTCAGACTTTTTAAAAATGTGTTTAAATTTTGATACAAGGTCTCTCTGACTCACTTAGTCGCCTAGGCCTGGCTTAATTTTGCTATTCTTCTGCCTCAGCTTCCCAGAGTGCTGAGATAGGACTGTAGGTGCCTCCAATGCAGCCCTGAGAGGGCTTTTCTTAAAGAGGCCCAATCTTCTCCACATCAAAATCATCAAAGCACGTATCAAATGTGCTCAGTGCAGCACTTTCTCCTGTAAGATCATTTCCCTTTAATAGTAATACTGGCTCAGACCTCCCAAATTTAAAGACCGAATCCAAAAATGAGCATCTGAAATGAACAGACATTTCTCAGACAAGGAAACAGAAATGGCAAATAAACATATGAAAAAATGTTCAACATCACTGGTCATTTGAGAGATGCAAATGAAAACAATGCTGAGATTCCACCTCACACCAGAAAGAATGGCTGCTATCATGAAATCAACCAATAACAAATGCTGGCGGGGGCTGTGGGGAAAGAGGAACACTGCTCCACTGCTGGTGGGAGTGTAGACTGGTGCAACCACTGTGGAAATCAGTATGGAGATACTTCGAAGAACTAGGACTGGAAGTTCCATTTGACCCAGCTATTCCCCTGCTGGGTATCTTCCCCAAAGAATTAAAAGAATCATACCACAGTGATATATGTGCACCCATGTTCATAGTAGCACAGTTTGTAATAGCTAAAACTTGGAAGCAGCCCAACTGCCCATCAACTGGAGACTGGATAAAGAAAATGTGGTTTTTTTTATAAAATGGAGTACTACTTAGCCATAAAAAATGAGAAATTAGAGACAGTTATGGCTAAATGGATGCACATTGAGGCGATCCTCTTAAGTGAAATAAATAGGACACACATGTAAATACCAAATAGTTTCTCTAGTGTGAGAGACTGACAGTGTAAATAAGGACTAAAAGGTATAATAGATAATGTGAAATAGGAAGAAAAGAGGCAAAGGGGAAGGGGAAGTGGGAGGGGTAGGGGAAAGGAAAGAAGGGAATGGAATTAATATGAGAAAATGAAAAAAAGGAAACAAAGTCTTTGTAAATAGGGAGGGATGGAGGGGTTGAAGGGAGGGCAGGGGAATGGGGAAAAAATAAGAACCAAGAGAGTATGTAAAAGTGCATATCTCCAATGATGAATGTCATTATATTGTACACCTAAAATGTACCAATAAAAAGATGTACAAAAAAATGTATTCCAGAAAACAGAATCACATAAAAATTCAGGATATTTAAAAATTCTATTCAATGAGAATCTGCTTCACAATCAATGTGAAAAAAAAGTTAATACTGGCTTATTAACTAAACCTTCCCAGGTGTGGAGCAGCAGCACCAAGCTTGAATAGAGATTGTTCTTCCTGGGTACAGACTAGAAAGAGTCAAGTTAGATCTGTGGTTTCAAACTTTAACTTTACACAAACAGTTCAGTGGCTCAGGGGTAAGGTCTATAAAGAAAAGGCTTCACACCTTTATTTATTAGTGTCCTGATTGATGGCTTTGGATCATTAAGACCTTCAGGTTGGGCCTCCCTAGGGAAATACCTGAGAATAAATGCTTCCTTTTCCTCTGGCTGCTGGGGCAAAGCCAGGTGGCTAAATGGAACTACTTACCCATTTTAAGGGACACAGAAGAGATTGAGGAGACATTTCCCCCAGACAGGCATGCTGCCTGTATAGGACCAGAGCGACTCCATTCCACTAAGATCAGCTATTCTTCCCCTAGTCTCCCTTATACTCATAAATTAATGGTCAAAATGTGCTTACTCTAGGTCAATAGATAAAATCTGGGCACG